TGTAATACAAAATAAAAATGGTCAAAACTAAAAAAACTAAATATATCGAACAGTAAAAATATTGAGATTCCTACAGAGTTAAAATTAGTTGACGAGATTAAAAACTTTTTCATTAATATTGCTCAGGCACCTCCTGTCAATGATGAAACAGTAAATTTTTATTTAAATAATGTAAATGATAACATTGACTATGAATTTAACTTTAATTGGATTGATGAAGATACAGTTTCTGCAATTATTCATAATATTAAGACTCGGGCTCATGGAGTTAATAATATAAATTGATATATAATTCTACTTTGTATGCTTTCTTTGTTTTAGCAGCTAACGTGTTGAAATTATATACCAAATAATATTTATTTATTTATGTAGTTGTAATATTTCTTAATACTTACCTTTTTAATCACACCTTGTATATATTATTTTTTTAACTGTATATTCGACTCTGCTTTCAGGGAATGGGTTCTATTTTCATATATTTAAATAAATTTTAATATTTTATGTTACCTGTATTTTGATTGTCTATAGCGCCTCCGTATATATCATTCAATTTAAAATATTAACAATAATACATGTTACAATGATAATACTTTATTAAAATTATGGAAATAGCCCTGTATATCAAACAGAGAACACAAATAATCTTTTTACAAACCAAATTACTAGGGTATATATATTTTTTTTAATATATAGAACGAAAGAAAGAAAAACCTTGATCAAAGTTTCTTAAAACAATCTAATTTTCTTCCCAAGAATAAAATTTACAATAAGTCGATAGATGTATCTAACGCCACCTATTAGGCAATAAAGAAATTAATACTTTGCTTGGGTAGAAAACTATAAACCTAAATTCTATTTTACAGTATTTAAACTAAACTCTGTAATCGATTCATAATGATTGCAGTGTTCATTACTACACCAAAAGGTTTGTACCCTGTCTTGAATCTTTTACAACATGTCAAAGAACTATGTACATGCTTTGTATAACGGATGTGTTATTCAGTTCCAATTTTGTTCCTACTATTTTATCAGGTATGTATTTAAATTAAAATAGTTTTACACTTACACTTGCTGAGTGGAAATCGTATATTTCACAACAATCTGTTTTTTTCGTAGAATGTTCCAGTCCAAAAACACAGGACACTGCCTCCAATTTTCACTGGACCACCATGAAATAGGATATCAATCTCATATCTCTGATTTTCATGGGCATATATTTAATTGGTATGTATTTCCGCAAATAGGATGTTTTTGACAATTAAAACGTATAATCAAATGACATTACCTTCATTTTGTAACACTTATGGGTGATTCTTGGATAACTGTGATTTTTTATGTCCAGTATTTTATTTATCATTTAGCATAAGTTTTCCTCAACAAAAAGTTATTAATATTATAAATGTAGAAGTATTTTACAACTAACATTATGAATTAGATCATAAATCTTCACAAATTTTTTTTAAACTGCACCTAAATGTACTCGAAATGTCAGTACCGTGGCATGTCCGATTCTCATTTTTAAAATTAAATATAAATTTTTTTATTAAAATTCATTTTTTAATATAAAATGTACCTCTTACAATTACAATCTAATCCATACTGCATTGAATTTTATTGCAATTTTATACCAATATTTCGATTGGTAAAAAAAAATAATCATTTATATGTCAGTACCGTGGAAATAATTGTCAGTACCGTGTCATTAAACTTTTGAAAAAATAGAAAACAAAAACGCGCAAAACAAACGTTTTAAAACATTTTTAATGCTAGAAAAATTTAAGTTGTAAAAATCGCAGTTACACGAAAATCACCCTTTTACCTTAAATAGAATGATATATGACGGGTTTTAATTAGTTTTAATTAATTTTTCTTTCAGGTACTTTAATTTTTTATCTAAATTCCAAGATGTCTGTCGTCGAACTCTAATCAACAATTTTTTTTTGTATCCATGGAGACAAATTCCTATCCCCATGAATCAAGATATCAGAATCCACTCTGCGTCATCACTGACATTAATTTTAACAAGATTTTACAAAAAAAATCATATACAGGATGTTATAAAAGATACCATATAATAAGGTATGTTAATAATATTTGATTTACTTATTTGCACAAATTTTGTTCATGGTAATTGTTTCTTGTACATTTAACAAGTTTTTTAAAAAAATAACATATACAGGATGTTATAAAAGATACCACATAATAAGGTATGTTAATAATATTTGATTTACTTGTTTATTTGCACGAATTTTGGATTAATTGTTTTAATATGGCTTTTATTAAAAAGGAAATATTATAAATATTCATTATCATTTCTTTTTTAATTTGTAGAAGTTCTGTTCTAAAAAAAATTATTTCTTAAAGAATTATATGTTTTTGATATGGCTTTAATTAAATAAAAACAGTACAAAATATACATATAGTTCATCTCTGCGGTTTTACAATTGTCCCTGTAGTCACTCACATCATAAATGAATGTATTTATAACAACTATTTTCCACAAGCTTGGAAGTTTGCTAATACCACTACCCAAAGTTAGTTGTCCTAAGAACGTCAATGATCTGAGATATATTAGTGTTCTGTCTGTTTTTTCTAAAATTTTTGAAATTATTATTACAAAACAGATAACCCATTTTTTAAATACTATCTAAGGTTCAGATAGTGGCACATATTTTATACTGTTCTGCTATCGAATCGATCATTTAATGATTATTTTGTATCAACTTCAGGAAATTCCAACCAAAGTTCATATGATTTTTTATTTATTTGTTCCATTCTCCAACATCCAAAAAACATATGAGTTTAGGTTCAGTTAATTTTCTCAGCTCCTTTTCTACCTAGGAATTCTGCTGTCTTGTTTTCCAACACTCTTTCATGTTTAAAAAGAATATCCTATATTTAATGAGATTTTTTTTTAAATTGATAGATATTTACATATAAATAAATAATTCATTCTTATTTTAATAAATTATAAACGATTCAGAAAAGAAAAAAAAATAAAAAGTTGATTATGTACAACAAAGAAAAACTACTAGACCATTTATAATTAAGTCCTTATTTAGTGCAAGTATTTAGATTGTTTTATAATAGGCATACAGAGCTGTCATATTAGAGCGAGACGCCTGCTAAATTTAGTGGGAATGGTTTGTGCGAGCTTGTTTATCTGAGGGACGAGCACGTTTTATGAATGAACCAGATCGTACAATGATTCATGCTTTACACCGTTGCCAAACTGTAAAGAATATTGTATTTTCCTGTAAATCACTATCAGCTACAATAATAGGTGCAACCAGAAAAGGACATTAAACAGATAACTGGCATAAAAAATGCAAATATACACTTCCTTTTTGTAATTTTGAAAGACTGTGCGCGTTTTAGAGCCTTATTTTAAATCAATTCCGAATTATAACCATAAACAATCCTTGTAGCATAATTCTCCTATAATAATTTGGCAACTACGTAGATGACACCATGAATTCGATTTTTGTAAGCAGAATTGAGACCTTCTTAAAAAGTAATGGAAGTTTTATCAAACTGTCAAATTGGCTTCAGAAAGGAAAAAGGCATGCCATATATCAAGCTCCAAAAACAATTACTGAATCCTTAAATAAAAATCGAAAGACGTCAGCGCTATGTCTGGACCTTTTTAAAGCCTTTGATAGTGTTGATCGCAACATTCTATGTAGGAAACTAAAGTTAATGGGAATCTTAGGGGTACCACTGCTTCTTATGAAATCATATTTTACTCAATGCGCTAGTTCAGTGTGATGTCATTTTGGTTCCACTGACATTTAGTTCTAACCAAACTTTTAACAAAAACATCAATAAATTTGACATATACGTTTTTACTGTTTTTATTTTATTTCAAAATATTGTTTACAGGTCATAAAAAATAGTTTAAAGGTATGTAATTGGTAACTAAACGATTGTATATTTGATACATGCTATCTACTTACTTTAGGAATATATTTATAAAAGTGAAAAAAACGATATAATTTAGGTAAACAAAACGCACTCAAAAAATATACTGTCACTTTAATTGTCAGTGGAACCATAATTACATCATCACTGAAGTAGCGTATAACCTTGATTTTTCGTAGTCGCAATGTCGTACCCCACTGGAGAGTGAATTTTATCAATGTAGGCGTTTTTGTTCTTTATGGTGTTTATGTTGATAAGTTTTTTTGTTGATTAATATTTATGGAGAAATGCGATCAAATTTCACCGAATATCCAACTTACTTTGCAAGATGTAAGCAATTTTTTAACCAAAATCAAGTTCACACTAAGACGTATCGATAGGTATACAATAAACTATTTAAATTACACTTTTAACGGCTTACATTTTCACATATTGCGGACGAAAACAAAACGATCACTTTAACTGCTACTTGTACCTAGTGTTGTAGAAACACCAAAAAATACTCTTGTGCAGATCATAGCCACATAATACAACTGATAATGACAGTGATCGAAACTATTATGAAATTCCTCATTTTCTCTTAACTGAGAAAAATATTATAGAGGCGAGTTCCGTGTACTTATAAAGGAATAGATTAAATCATAAGAAATAACCATACAATGTTACATAATATCAAAGACGCAACAAAACATTTTAAATTTAAATGTCTTCAGATACACTTGCCTTTTAGATACACTGCTGGCAAGATCAAACTTTTGGTCCTAAACAAGTCTATTTATGACTGGCAACATTGATACTATATCGTTTCCTGTCCTGCATATGTGAACGCCATTTAATATTTACTTCAATATAAGTAAAGCAGGTCCGATGGTTTGATCTTGTCAGCACTATATATTTTTCATTAAATATGTTTTCTTTTCATAGAATTTTCCATTGTAATACTACATTATTTTACTTATTATTGTATTCTTTTTCAATAATAAATAAATTTATGATCGTGAGTTGTTCGAGTTCGTTATTGCCAAGTTCGAATAACTTTTTTGAATTAATAACATAATTTTTTAATTCAATAAACTTACCATCAATATACTCAACAATCTGACTTTGCTCGATTTGACTACAAACGAAACAATGTTTCCTAGAATGCTTCCACCTCGACGTATCAATTGGGTTTTTGGCTATACTATCTGGAAGAAATTTTGGATCTCTTGTTTCCTCGTGTGCAGGAAATATTTCCATAAGAACTTTCGGGAGACAGATGCCCATATACCGCTTATCGTCCTGAAATGGCGGTGCATCGATATCGAACTTTGGGAAGCTGAAACCCGATGTGAAACTAGAGTCGAAGAGATTGAAATCGTCTATTAAGGAACTGTCGGGCCTAAAAGATAATAATAATATTTTTATTAATGCCTCAGAAAATATTATACAAAGAACAAACAATATACAGTATATTAATTTTTAAGAACGGTATAGAAAAACGATTCTATTAAATAAACAGAAATATAACAATACATGCTACGGGTAGAAATTTAACCACGCTTTTAAGCACCGATCATTTACCCAAATTAGGAATTGAGTATTTATTATTTTTTGCTTCTTAAAATAAAATAATTAATTGACATAATTGATTTGTTCTTACCTTGGATGTGATGTTGAATTATACCAATAATAATCATCGAAGTTCCATTTCTCCAAATTCATTCCATCCATCAATCTCAACATTTTAAGAGTTTTATAACCAATAAGATTTTGTACACTCAATTGATTTGACGTGCTTCCAGTTAATGATGAAGTAGATACATCAGAATTTGTAGTACCTAGATAGACAGATCTTTATTGAAATAGGATAAACTTCATATACATATTAAATAAAAAAAAAGTGAAGTGAGAAAACTAAAATGTAGATTTTGGAAATATGAAATTATGATAATTACACCTTTATATTCCCAAAGTGAAAACAAACCAATTTTTCTTTGGTTTACTTTAAATGATGCAACACACCATGCAAATTAATTAAAAATTCACATAGTTTGTTCTAGGAGCCAAAGTAGCGTATGCAATTAACGGATTGATCGACTTACCTGTAAAGATGATCGATCCGAATTATTCGAGCTGTTGTCCGTAATGATTATTACTCCCTGTAGTACGCATGACTCATACTGATCAGTACAAAAAACTACCAAGATAGTTACGAGGCCACATTTTGTCTACCGTTGCATCTTTTATATCTTTTCTAGGATTACGTTATCTTCTTAGAAGGCATGTTAGATTAGTTGTATTGTATTTAGTTTCTTTAGATTCTGTTTAACCACTCAAGTAGAAAGACATATGTTGTAGTAATTTGAAATAAAATATTTTTTAAAAAAGCATTTTCGTTTCTGAAATACTTATCTAGATAAAACAATTTCTATATAAACACCTGCGGTATGTGTGTGATTCATTGCATTATTTGATTTATTAGATTGCGATAAGATAGGGATAAGGGTGGGACGTAATAATTAGGGCTCGGAATTGTATTCGGTTAATTCGATAATTCGAATACTCAAAATCCGATATTTTTAAATCGAAATTATTCGAATAGTCGAATATTCGAATATTCAAATACTCGAATATTCGAATAGTCGAATATTCGAATATATTCGACTATTCGAATAGTCAAATAATTGAATAGTTGAATATTCGAATACTCAATATTCAACTAATTGAACTAGGTATTCGATACTCGAATATTCGACTATTCGAACACTTAAATATCGGAATACTGTAAATGTTTAAATATTCGGATATATATTTTGAATTTTATATACCTAATTTAAATGTTTCTTTTTTATCTATTGCTTAAAAATAAAGGTAGAAGAAAAATGACTAACAAAATTCTGACTTGGTATTTGGTAAATGAAGGGAACCCCAACGTTATTTCACATTCGCACTTTTCACACGCTTGTTTATTTTTGTTAAGTTATAACTTACTATTACTAGTTATTTTATTCATATTAGTGTGTGTGTATGTCTGTCAGTCAACGCTTGCCCGCTACAGGTGTCAAATATGAGTTTAGAACGCAGTAAGATTTGGCTTTACTTCGATAAAAAAGAAAATACTCGAATATCGTATATTCGAATACTCGTATATTCGAATACTCGTATATTCGAATACTCGAATATTCGAATGTACGAATAGTCGAATACTCGAATATTCGAATAGTCGAATATTCGAATAGTCGAATATTCGAATAGTCGAATATTCGAATACTTAGAAATATTCGAATAGTGAATAATATGGGTATTCGAATAAAGTTTCAAACGAATATTCGAATACAAAAATCTGAAAAATTCCGAGCCCTAGTAATAATCATTACGGACATCGAATGATTCGGATCGATCATTCTTACAGGTAAGTCGATCAATCCGTTCATTATTCTTCGCTGTTGTCCTACATGATTATTACACCCTGTAGGATGTACGCAATCTAATAATTTTAATTTTTCACTTTAATACGACAGATACCCATTATAACAGAACAATGTAATAATTCTCGAAAATAACAAAAAAAGGAAAAACTGCAATAAAAAATAACTAATTAATAGTAACAATTTATAACTAGATAGACTTTTTAGAGACCAATGTGGTCGCAAATTAATTTTTGGTTGTTTGACAGTATGTTGTAAAATTTTATGAAAACATTCTAGCTCACAGTGGCTCGAATACCGTCTATTTTACACCTCGACAGAAGAGGCCCGTGGTATATGCCTATTCCACGTTAAAAATAGTTTATCTTTTGTTTGTGGTCTGAGTTTATTGGTTGTTTCCAAGTAATATTTTAAGGTTTTTACCACACATAGACTAGGTTGTTCTTTAAATTCTAGAAATTTCAGTAAAGATGTATTAATTTTTATCATATACGTATTTCTGTGTGTCCATCCCCTTTTTTTATCAATGTTTCCTAACAAAATCTTTGATATAGTCTGCATTCTATGGGCAGAAATTAATGCCATTAAAGTAACTAGTTTGTAACTTAAAATTTCTAGTGTCAGATTTTCTAAAGGATATTAAAGATTTTAAATATCATAATTAGGGTACCAAGTGGATTTTAAATTAATATTAGTCAAATTAACAGAAATTTATTTGTTTAAAATATCCTTAAGTAATTTGTTTTTCTTGTAAATTTACTTGAAATTGTACATATTTCTGTTAAATACTTTAAAGTAGGTACCTAAATAATTTAGCAGCAAATAATCAAAGTATTAATACCAAATCATAATTTATAATATAAATAACATATTAAAAAAATTTAAACGTGAAGTTAAATACATTGCTGTTTTTATAGTCAATTAATAGGTACAGGTACTAAATAATTATTTATTATATAAGTAGGTACACTCTGAAAAAGGTTTTCTTGAATTAAACAAATGGATTTGTTTGAAATCTGTTTGTAATGTTAAACAAATTTTGTTTAATTAAAGAACACCATTCTTATGAGAAGAAATTCGAGTTTAAATACATTTATTTCCATAAAGCAAATGTTGTGTTTGGCAGAAAAAGTTATTATTTTGAACCAATTTTTGTATTTGTTTTTGAATGAAGACTTGCAAATATTGTTAAAAATAAATCGTGAACTTGACATAATAAAATGATAGATTTAATTCTAAATTATTTAGAAAACAAGCATCACATTTATTTGTATAAAATTAATATTTATTGGCAAAGAGACTTTGATTCAGCCAATGAAAGCTTATTTAGATTTCGTTATAGACTCTCGTTGAGTGGTCTCTTGTTAGAACTAGTCTGATTTGGTACTTGAATGCGTACGGTCACAGAAGCAAATTTTCATAGGGTCTTTGTATTAAAGAGGTACCTAAAAATGTAAGTTACTATATATACGACTGCTTATTAACGCAAAGTTTCGTCATTTTTATTGTCGGCTATTAGGTATTAACGACACTTTGCTGTTGAATATTTCAACTCAATATCTCGTGTTTTTCTATAGCAGTACCTTGCAGTCCAGATGTTACCTTTTTAAATTTTAGGGTAGAAATCACCCAATATACAAATGAATAATTATTGGAATAAATAAAACATTAATGTATAAACTTGTTCGAGTCTAATGTGCATGATCGAATTACGTAATACATCACATGTAAGCATTCTAATATTTTACAGTGTGTTTGCCAAGTTATAATGTGTAGATTACTAAGAAAAAGCCACACACATCATACCTGACAACGGCCGCAATAATTTGCCTCTCTCTCTCAGGTCCATCCCATTTAAGCGTCAGTGGCGTTTTGGCGATTTTTTCGTTTTTCTAATATAGAGATACAATTGCTTAATAATTTGGCAACGCTGTACGACTGCCGCATGGTCCAGAATATAATTCGAACAGAAGCTATCGCGTTAACATGGATCGCTTATTTGTGAGCCAAACTTCGGCGTTGCCAAGCTTTTACTTACGAACAAAAATACGGGTTCATCGGAAGAAAGTGAAGACAGCGAGAGTACTATACTCTGTTTTTAAACTAGGAGGAGCGAATTGAAAAGACGCATTTACACAGGGAAAAGTAACTAGATTTGTTACTAAGAGCGAGTTTCGAAATATAGTCGTGTTCAAAATTTATGAAATAATTATCTTTATCGGCCTTAGTCGGCGAACGGCCAATGAGCGGTTAAGAAACGAATAAATGTCGTAGAAGTAATTTTTTAATTGGTCCCAGACAACGGTCGCAAATTTCACATTATTGTGATCTGAAATGTGTGTCTAAAACGAAATGTCACTGTCAAATTAAAGTCAATATGGTTGTTGATTGATGTCAGAAATACTTTTTTCTTGCTTTTGAAATAGACTTTTTGAGAATAACTATGATCTTTTTAAAATAGATATTAAATATTTAAGAAAATTATTAATGGAATATCCAGATGTAGCCAGGTTAGTATAAAATATAAAGATCTGTTTACATTTTTAAGGATAATTTGTTATAGGTATAAAAAGTAAAAGTTAATCAGTGAATGACAAGTGGATCACACAGTAACTGGTATCTCTTCTATGAGTAATGTGGATATTATGGCTTATTTAGTGTTAACCCATGGTTAATGCGCTAGAGGGCAAATAAAGGCATTCAAAAGTTTACAGGCATATGAGTCAGAATTTGTTTTGAAAACTGGAACCAACATTTTCATAACACTACATGTCAACATATATTTTTTAAAGTGAACTATTCATACATACCTATGTATTAATGTTAAGTATTTTTAAAATATTTTTTGTGAAAGTAATGTTAACTTATTGTGCCAAATTAAGATTATCCCTAAAGTAGTAGATGGTGTTTTAAATGTTATAACAATTTTGTAAATAGTTTTATTCTATTCTAATAAATAAAATTTGCTTAAATATTTAGTTACATTTTAATCATTTTGGTTAGAAATTCATCAATCTTTAGTTTTAAAAAATCAGTAATAAAATTATTTTTTTCTAAAATACTTCGGAATTCATCTCTTCATGGTAATCTCCCATCTTTTTACCTTCAAAACCCAATAATGCATTTTCTACAAAACCTTCAGAATCAGCATGTAAAATAATGTGTCTTCCCTTTCTTGTAAGGCTTTTCAGGAATTGCTACCTTTAATAGTGCTTAGTGTAGAAGGATCCATAATTGTAGATTTTCAATACAATTGCTTACTGAAGAACTATTATTTACGAAATAAAGTAAAAAACTAAGTAATTGAGATATCAAATTATAAAATGTCAGAACTGTCAATAATATCAATTATTAGCTGATGTTCATGCTAAAAAGTAATGTGTGAAACTGACTGTAATCTGACCAATCACAAGGCTACAGAATTACCAACTTAAATTCAAATCGCTCCTCTTAGTTTAAAAATAGAGTATAATAGTTCATTAACAATCGAACTAGGATGTACTCCTTTAGTTTCACTTTTTGCACTAGTTGCATAAATAACTATTATTTTAATTATAATAAAAATCTTAAATTACAAAATTGTGTTGCTATTTTTATTTACTTCCCACTGAATGTTTTGCAAGTCTAAAGTCGAAAAATATATGTAATTTTATTTTAGTTTAGTTATTTAGGTAATATACAAATGTTTAAATCATTAAAATTTAACTTTTTAATCCAATAAATGTTTTTTGTTGGGAAACTGCTTTAATTCTTATTTAAATAAGAGCCTACGCCACTGGTATATCGATCTGGAGCAACGGAAAAGGAATATTTTAAAGTGAGGCAGACGATGACTAGTTGATGACGCCCGTGGCTTTTTCTAAGTTGAATCGTACTCTATATATCTATGCCTATATAATACGACCAATTTTTAAAAATAGGTATATTATCTAACAATAAATTTCATAAAAGGAAAGTGGCAGTTTCCGAAAAAAGTTTGTAGTTCTGTCAAAAAACGATCATTTTTTAAATTGTCTAGAGAGAAACATTTCTACATCCTTGTTCATAATCAATGCATTCAGAGACTTGCAATTATTGGCTGTAGGATATTTTTATTTAGCGATTCAAGTACCTTTTGTATGAATTCCATTTTATAGAGATATCTTCGCGTGTTTCCCAAAGAGTTGATAGATTTTTGGTGAATTCCGAGAAATTTGGAAAAACGATTTTTTAAATCCATATACACTGTATTTTCGTTTACATGGATGTATGAAACGTAAAATAATTTTTGTTAACCTTTGTAGGTAGTTTTAAACTTTATTTTACACTAAACGGCAACTACTATTCTCCTGAATACGCCTACATTCCTGAGTTTCTCTACAAATCAGAGCAGTTTGTTAAAATTAAATAGTTTTACATTATTTTGAGTAAACACTTGATTTTAAGAGACTTTAATATAAATATTAAACAACAAACTGACCTAGTTTCTACAAATTTAGATACATTAGGTGAATATAACTTCTTATCTAAAAGTTGCTTAGACCATATATTTTATAGGTCTGATGCGTTAAATAAATTTATAGCAGCCACATATTATGATACCAATATAACAGATCACAAAGCTACAATCGCATATCTTCCAATACAAGCTGAGACAACTGAAAAAAAGTCATTTTTCAAAAAGATTAATTATAAAAAAGCTACAAAAAAATATTCAGAACCACAGGTGGGAAGACTTTTATAGCATAAATAATTTAAATGAATAAGTATTTAGTAAACACATTAAACGTATATATAAATAAAAATACCAAAGTTATTAGATAAAACAATGGGTAACCAGGGGTATCATTAACTCAATTACAGAAAGAAACAAACTTCATCATATTTATAAAAAAAATTTGGAAAATTTAGAAGAAAAGAAGCATATTTAAATTATAGAATATTAACGGATAGGTTTATAAGGAAAGCTAAAAAAGATTTTTATGCTAAGCAAATAAATGAAAATAAAGAAAATTCTTAAGGTCTATGGAAAATTATTAATCAAATATAAAGCAAATCAATAACAATAAAATAAAAGAAATACATACTGATGATGGACATATAGTAACAGAGGCGAAATACTTAAACGTTCAACAACTACTTTACTGAAGTAGGTGTAACTCTTGCAGAAAATATAAGCCCTTCTAACAGGCCTCAACCTAGGAGAAATATTCAGAAAAATTATAATAAAGTCCCTAGCAAACAAAAAATCACCCGGAATAGATAATATACAAACAGAATTATTAAAAGAGAATTTAGAAATATTTATCCCACTCTTAACTCATTTAGTTAATAAAATATTACTGCAAGAATTTCCCATTGAACTAAAAAGATCGTTAGTCATACCAATATTTAAAAAGGGCAATAAGACAATGTTAACAAACTTCAGACCAATATCTTTAATCTTTAACCACAAAAAATCATCTAAATAAACTGGAAATACTTCAAAAAAGAGTAGTTAAAATCATATACAGTAAAAAAAATTATTATGATGAAGTCAAAATTATGGATATCAGACAGTTATAAATTTATGCAGTTTTAATGTACACTTACAAACAAAGATATTTTACAAAAATGACCTTTAACTATCAAACAAGAGGTAAAAATACAGGAACGGTATATACTCACCTTGTTAATAAGTCAACTTCACAAAGATTTTTTTTTATATTTAAGTGGAAAAATATTTAATATCCTTCCAGAAATGTACAAAATGTATTTGCTTACTATAAACTCATTTCAACTGCTTTAATGAGACAATATATTGTAAATGCAGACAGAAAAACTTTGAGAGCATTGATTGAATAATATGAGAGTACGTCAGAAAAATGTGATAAAACTATTTTATGTATTTTTTAATATTTTATGTATTCATTAACATTTTACTAAAAAAAAAATTGTTATTTTTATATATGAAGAGTCATATATTATAAAAGAACCTAATTAGTTCATATTATTTTTTGTAATTATTTAAGTCACATTATATTCTATCATGTATAATTCGGCAGCCTATGCGCAACCGTTAGGTCATAAGTAGGCTACCAGATTATCTACATATAACATTATCCCTTTTATAAATAATTATTGTACTAATAAAGATTATTATTATTACAATACTATTATTAGTCTTGATGAATTATGTACTGTTGTATGTAACATGAATTAATATGAAACTCTTAACCACTTGCTTTTTGATTGTCCAATATAATACAGTTTCTGCCCTGGACAACAACTGAAAATACCAAAATAATAGCCAGTTATATAATATGGAATATATTAAAATTCAGAGCATTTATTTTAAATGAATAGTCTCACTGATTTACTTTTTATATTCGTACTTTGTGGAAATACCATTTCTGTTACGAATGATTTTGTTGTTATTCCTTTTAATTTGACTTTTGTATACTAAATTAAATTATTGTTATCCATCTGTATACAGAACGTTCCAAAAAGTTTATAATAAGTGAGAGGATTTTCGCATTGTTACTTGGGAAATATTATGTTTTCTTTTCTTTTTTATATTGTATAGGTTATAATCTATAAATTTATATACTTTGTAAAACCCAAAACGTTATTGTGAACCTAAATGTTTAGGAAGCAATAAAGTATTATTATAAGTCAATTACTTAAAATAGGAACTAGCTTAGGAAGAGACATAAGTCAATCTTTCATGATGGACTTAATTTTTTTGGAAGAGACATAAGTCAATCATTCCTAACTAACTTAATTTTTTCGGAAGAGACAAGTCAATCTTAATTATTGGTGTTAAGTACCCCACCTTTATAAGGAATAAAAAAGTAGAACAACTAAACAACATACCTTCTTTATAGCTTTCCAATTCACTTTCAAAATTCTTCCTAACTTACATAATTTTTTCGGAAGAGACACAAGTCAATCTTAATTATCGGTGTTAAGTACCCTATCTTTATAAGGAATAAAAAAGTAAAACAACTTGGCAACATACCTTCTTTATCGCTTTCCAATTCACTTTCATAATTCTTGTCCACTTACGCCTTTCAACACTTTTGGCATCCTTAAACACTAAAAATTTCGTTAAGCGCTGCTAATCAATACAAATAATGCAATGAATCACTCACATACCGCAGGTGTTTATATAGAAATTGTTTTATCTTGGAAGTTTTTTGTACTGATCAGTATGAGTCATGCATACTACAGGGTGTAATAATCATGTAGGGCAACAGCGAGGAATAATTATATATCAATTATTCAATATTAATTAAAAAGTTTTAAGGAGACATTTGAAAGTTTTTAAGCTATTGCTAAAATACAAATTGACAAATGCGGATCATTTAAATTTTATCAATCATTTGGAAATTATTGCTGAACAATATAGCTATTGTATATGAAAAGTAATGTATATTGACGGTGAGAAGATGATCATTTTAGGAATAAATTATTAAATAAAATATATAAACTTACTCGTGGATGATATCCTGTGAGATACTCTTTTGAACTGAGGAGGTATTTGTAAAGTAATTAAACTAGAGGAACTAGGAATAGTGCTTAAAGTCTTGACATAATTAACACTAGAAAATAAAAAATAGCAATATTTTATAGAATACAAAATATTATAACTTACTGGGTTGCAGCTTTGTTGGCTAAGGAATCACAGGAACTTACACCGGAAGTATTCGAATCTGTCATGGAACTATTTCTGTATCTATGGGTTGTAGTCAATGGTACAGACGGAGGGCGAATGTCATCGAAAAAACCATTGTTGGTTTCAAATGTCTTCGATTCCGACAGTGATCTTTTATGGAACATAAATGGTGGTCTTCTGCTAGCTGGTAGAGTGGACTGTCTCACCCTTCTACCTTCTATAATAAATATTTATTGATTAGAGAAAGTTGTTAAAGATTACAATTTAATAAGTGTCAAACCTTTTAACTTTTCATTTACCTGATGAAGTAGGAGACCTTAAAAAATCCTGCCGCTCTTCAGGACAATCTTCATCTTCTGGAATAAAATCATTCTCTCTCATTAATGGGCTATTCCAAGAAATTATATCTTCAGACGTCGACACACTGGGATTTCTACCATAAAACCAGTCTTCCATTTCTTCGTGGATAATAGGCCAGTTGTCGTGCCTATCATGTCTCGTACATAACCAACCTTTTCGACTCAAATCATCTGCTCCTGCCGGAGTGGTTCCTGTAGAAAAGGAGAACATTACCCTTTTCCTGTCATATTTCAGAGAAGAGATGAAAAATTCTTATTTTGTATAAATGGTTATTACTACCACAAACTTTTTTGAACTGTTTATTACACAGAATATTTCTTTTATTTCATTTTACAATGCTTGTGGGTATATATTTTTGTCGCTAAGCTCTTCTACTACCTTTAGTCGGAAATTTATTAGTCCTCCTTATAATTGAAGCCCTAGATATAGCATTTATTTAAATAAATAAGATTTTAATTATTACCCTTTGTTGTAATGAAAAATAGGTTTTCTTGGCACTCTTTAAAAAGACGTGATTTACAGAATAATATTAGAGTTCAAGCTTTTAATTTGTACACACCTAGAAGTCCTAAAACGTAAAAAGCTGTAGCTCGAATTGAATACACAGGTGAATATTTTGCAAATCCTATGATGATTTCAACTATTCCAAAGTTCGTTAAATAGTCAAATCCTCTATTTGACGTACCCATGTGGCCCAAAGCCCAAATGGCGGCTTTCAAATGTAAAATTTCTTCGTCGGTGCTACATTTCGCCTGATTGATGGTCTGAAATTTATTAGGCAATGAATTAATTTGCCAATTTTAAAATTAAAACAAAAATAGTACTTACTTCTAGCATTTTATTAGTTTTTCCTTGACTTATAAGCGATTCAAAGCCCTGTACATGCTGAACTAGCTGCCCATATAAGTGTGGCGACAGAAAAACGTCTTTTCTATTTGTGTTTCTTAAAGAACTAGATCTCTTGTCATATTTACCACTGTCATTGCGTTGATGTAATGTCAGCGCATCACAAATGTCTCCTTCAATCAGTTTTACATACCTAGAAAAATGATTTCTATGATTACAATGTTATATTAATGAATCTTGAATGTCTGTAATTTCGAATGGGTACAGTAGATTTATTAATTCTGCATTTCAGGATCTATTCATTGTTGCGAACTTTCAGAATCCGTTTTTCAATAGTTTTAGAAAAGCTCTAAGACTTTTGATATTTTGAATAATTTCACAATTCCTAATGATATTTATAGTTTTAAAAATTAGGTGAATAAAGCAGATGAGGTTAAAATTTAACTTGTGGCATTCAATTGCGTCAAAGTCAGTATTGGGTCGCTGTTCTGTCAAAGCATCAAATAATACCCGAATTTCAGTCTGGATTTAGGCCTTTACATAACTGTTGTTAAACATAGTTGATGATGTACTACGAGCCACGGATAATGGAAATATTACAATACTGGTGTTACTTGATTTCTCTAAAGCATTTGACCCTCTACAACACCATCTACTACTTGCAATTCTAAAATCAATAGGCCTCACTGTTGATTGTATAAATTTTTTCAAGAACTATCTTACTAATAGGTCACAAAGAGTAAAGTATGGGGAGCAATTTTCATCCAGATTAAATATTTCAACAGGGGTACCTCAAGGCTCCATTTTAGGACCCCTTTTGTATACTCTGTATACTTCTAATATTGGCAGAGTCACAAACGTTAGTAAAATCCACCTCTATGCCGATGATACGCAAATTTATCACTCTTTCAACGCAAATAATTATATTCAAGACTTAGAATGCATTAATGAAGATGTAAATAATATTATTCAGTGGTCATTCGATCATGCTCTAAGTATAAATTCTAATAAAACATCTGTATTAGTGTTTGGTCCTAAAAAAGCTCGTGATGAAATTTCTAACATCATTACAATAAAGGTCAATGACCAGCAAATAAGACCAACAGAAGAAGCAAAAATCTTGGGGTAATTATGGACAACAAATTAAAGTTTAAAAAACATATAAACACCTGCATCAATAATATTAATATCAAAACAATTTACTCTAGTAGACAGTTTCTTTCTCTTCCAATAAAAAAGATATTATGTGAGGCAATGGTGCTGTCAAAATTTAACCATGTTGATTGTGTCTATGGTCCGTTTATCGACTCTGCCGATATCAGGAGGGTGCAGGTTGTGCAAAATTCGTACATGCGTCTGATTTGTGGTGTAAGAAGTGGTCAGCCCATTTCCCACAAATTAAAAGCTCTTAAATGGCTCAACATGAGTAAAAGGCGTTATCTGCACTTATCGTGTCTCCTTCACAAAATATTACTGAAAAACAACCGACGTACCTTTTTAATAAGATTACCATTCAGTCAACCATACACAAACGAAACACTCGCTACAAACATGATATAACTACACCCAAACATCGCACTGAAATATTCAAACGTTCTTTCACGTACCAGGTGCCTAAAATATATAATAGTCTATCAATATCTATAAAAAATAAATCAATCCAATCATTTAAAAAAACTATTTATTGTTTCGGCCTTTACTTGATGAAAATCCATTTAATTTTGAAAGAGTAAAACCAAATTTGGTAGATTTTCACACTTTTATTTTAAAAATAAAAATTTTTAAACAAACACTAACATGACATATGTTTCGAAGTACAACTTCTTTTTCAAATGTGACTATTTACAATTCGGTATCCAATATATATACAAAATAATTTAACAAAACAAAGTACTTAAGAAAACATCAATAACATTACAAAATAAACTAACTATTTAAAGTAAATAAGGGTACTTAGGTAAAATTTTTATTTTTAAAATAAAAGTGTGAAAATCTACCAAATTTGGTTTTACTCTTTCAAAATTTAAAAAAACATTGAAATTAAATTTACTCTCTGGGATATAATATTATTGTTGTTATATTTCTTCTGTTTTATTATTATTATTAACATTATTATTACAACTACCCGTTATAATTTTATAATTTCAAAGTTATATTGCCATGTGTTTTTAGAAATTAGGATTTTTTTCTTTATACAGCTTAAGATGAAAAACAGAGGTTGTGTCTGTTTCTTTGAAACATATGACACATCCACCTGATCTTCGGCTTTTTTTTTCTTACACCCTTGTTTAATTACTGTATTTTTGTTATTATGGATGTAGAAAAAATAAAGACCTTTATTATTATTATTATTATTATCTTATTCAGAGTTTTATCCTAACTTGTCAGAATCACGACCTAACGCGGGTATGTATAGATAAAAACAACTGCATTACTAAATCTAAAATAGACTGTTTTTTAACAAATCTTCCCATATATACTGAAACTGTGGTTGATTTTAATCTAGGTGATCATTTTGGCTTGGATGTTATGCTTGGAGACATCCCATGTGCACAAAGAAAAATTAACAATGAAATAGTAACTTTTAGAGATCTTTCTTTTACAAACTTAGCAAATCTTAATGCAAAACTAAATAATGAAGATTTTTCGACCGTTTATGAGTTAAGACAGTACTGATGATACTTTTGATACATTCTTTAGAATCATTTCATATCCTATTGATGTAACTTGTCACCTTGTCAGAACAAAACTGGTTAAAAACAATACATCAAGACAATGGGCAAACAAAAACATTATACATACAGGTAATGGTCTTAAAAATTTGTATTGGCTTACTAAAACTTGTGACAGCTCAGAATTGTTAAGAAATTACAAATCTAAAAAAAAGATTATGTTCAGTTAATAAATGTAACTAAAAAGGACCATTATTAAAAATTGTTAGAAAACAAAAATCCTCAACAAAAACAAAAAATTGTATGGAATACAGTACACTCTATATCCGGCAAAAGCAAATCTATAAAGCCAATACAGATCAATGTTGACGACATATTAATATCTGACAAAAAAACCGGAGCTAATTGTTTTGCTATTTTTCAACCATAGCTAGTAACCTTTTAGAGATAATTTTGAAAATACAAATTTTCATAACTACACAACCATGCATGTAAAAAATACATTCTTTTATGATGGAACAGATTCCCAAGAAGTAACTGCAGTCATTAGTTCTTTAAAAAATACTAATGCAATGGGTGTAGATTGCATTACAACTAAAATAATTAAATCTATTGGTCATTATATAACAGAACCAATTGCATATATAATCAATGTCTGTAAAAATGGCATATTCCCCAAGGAACTTAAAACTGGTACACTATCACCTATTTTTAAAAAATGTGATTGAATGGCTCTTGAAAATTATAGACCTATCTGTAAAATATTTGAAAAATGTTATCATTTTTATTTAAATTTAAAATTATTACAGATCAACAACATGGGTTTCATCCTGATAGGTCAACAGAAAGTGCTACTACTACCTTTTTTTAATTATGTCCACAATCAGCTGAATAGAAAAAGGTTAGTGTGTGCTCTTTTTTGATCTATCTAAAGCTTTTGACACCTTTGATATCTTAATTATTATTAAAAAATTAAGTGCTTAGAGGTAACTTTTTGCAATTGATTAATTCCTATATAGATTCTCGTAAAATGTCTGTTAGAATCAATGGTTGCTTATCAGAAGTAAAGGACATGGATCGCGGAGTTCCTCAGGGATCAGTATTGGGTCCACTCATATTTCTCCTTTACATAAACGACTTGCCTAACTTCATCTCATCTGGTCACATTTCAATATATGCAGACGATACCAATGTTGCTGTCGATGCAGAATCACCTGAGGAACTTCATTCCAAATTGTCTCTTGTTGCTAGAGAATTTAATGTATAGTGTAAAAGAAATGCATTAATTGTTAACTCCAACAAAACAGTACTCGTTCAGTTCCATTCTACAACAAGAATAAGTACAGATTTTTTAATACAAATAAATAATGATTTTATCCCACTGTGCATGAAAACAAAATTCCTAGGAGTTCTTATAGTTGCAGATATGAGTTGGAGTTCCAATACTGACTCCGTTTGCAAAAAATTAAATAGTGCGTACTATGCAATTCTCCAATTTAAAAATATGTTGGACACCAAACAGCTTCTTCAAGTTTACTATGAGATGGCATTAGCTTACAACATATTGCTTTGGGGACATGCCTGAGGTACGTTAAGAGTTTTTGTCAAAAAAGACTAATAATATTAATTTTTAACCTAGATGCTAGAAGTACCTGTAGAGATCTTTTTAAAAGATATAATATAGACTTTTCCAGCAATATATATTCTCACAATGTGCTATATACGTTAAAACAAACATCTCCAAATTTACCCGTAACTCAAACATAATTAAGGTACTTGTAGTGGAAATTTACTACGCATACCCCCTCATGTTTCAACCATGTTCCAAAAATGTTCATACTACTGTGGAATAGGGTTATTCAATCATCTACCTACCTCTCTAAAACAAATTAACAGTCTCAGCTCATTTGAATGCAAATTTAAAAGCTATTTATCCCAAAAATGCCCTTATAGCATTCATGAATTTCTCCTGTAGCTGTTGTAGTGCAAGGTACATCCTATGTCATATGGGTGTTTTCAAGCATATCAGTCCTAATTTTAATTTTGTGTATATATTGTTAAATTGTATATTCAAATGTGGTGGTTAGATTTTATGTTTTGTAAATGTATACTATTGTACTTTACATGTAAATGACTTATCCTCTATCATGTATATGATCTAAATGGATTAATAAAGTATTATTATTATACAATAATAAATCTTATGATCATATACAATATAGTCTTGACTTCTTTCCTTATCCTCTATCTGATATAATTTAGATCATTTGTATTACCCTGTATTTACCTTTTACGTGTCTTCTTATAGATATAATGAGAGTATATTTCTTACAGAATATTTAAACAACAAATCAAACGAATTTGCTTACCTGCTACAAAATGTCTCATCCCATTTCTTAATTTCTAGTCCAACTTTCTCTTTACCAACTTTTTTAAATCCGCTCTCCAGAGATAAAAACCGCACAGAGAGTATGGTTCCTTTTTCCCCCAGACTTTCCAAATTAGGATTGATCTCTATCAAAGCCTCTAAACACTCTGACAGTTCACAAGCTTCGTGCAATGTAGCCAAAGCTGATGAGTAGATCGCTCTCGATTTGTCATAAAGTTGATTAACCAATAACTGAATTGCCCATGAGGAAAACAAGGGATTGCCAGCTCGTAGGAGTACGTGCAAGAATTGTGTGGCATATAGACGGGAACTTTCTTGGTTACATGATAAAACTGCTTCTAGAATTTCGCGGGATGGACCAGGAAAAATGTATTCCAAAGAGGAGATTATTAGCTTGACATAATAATCGTGATTTGTGGTTGTTGCTAGTTCTTTCAAGCTAAAGAAGAGAAAATTATATTTAGATTTCTATAAGTATAGATGTATTTTAAATTTTACTTACTTCTTAAACATGTTGATCTTTTCCAACGCTTTAATACCTATTTCTGTCCTAGCAAATTGTCCGATAAACAAAAAATAGCTCTGACACTGCGTACTCAACATATGAGCTGGACTGAACAAGCAATCATGAACACTCCTGCTCGTAGTAATTTTATTAATATTGTTCAAAATATCTTTAAACAGGTCATCAATCATATTGAGAGGTTTTAATCCGTTATAATCAGTGTCTCTTTGATCTACCAAGAAGTTGATAAGTTCTATGCCAGCTGTAGTATAAATAATTGAAGATTTGGTGGTGCCCAAGTCCATGTGTGAGTATTTGTTTTTAGAAGGCATGTAGAATTCTAATAGCTTTTTGATGAATGTTCGATGAGCGAGGTCGTTCAGATCTATTCTTGCGTTATTTTCACCCTTAAAAAAAAACAAAAATGATAAAAAATATAATTAAATCAAAATCCTTTATTTAGTCCATTGAAAGTACAGGACTTTGTGAACACGTCAATTAAATATTTATATATTCTATTATTTATATTCAAGGTGAGAAGACGTATTCGTTTTACTGCGCAAATAAATCTATATTTCTATCAATATAAACTATATAATGTTAAAAAAAAACAACTAGTGAATTAAATTAAATGTACTATAGTACTATAGTGTAGTAAATAAACTGTTTAGATGAATCACAGTTGCATAGATTAATGCATTATCTCTGCAATTTCACCGAAATAAAATCTACCTAGGAAACAAAAAACGCAAAAAAGTACCAAACCTTATCAGATGACAAGAAAGTTTAGGTGAAATAAAATAAACACCAATACTTTCTACTAAGCATTCATACAAATAGAATATCCAGTGGCGTACCCACATTTAGTTTATAACCACCAATTAATGTACTGGTAGCGTATAAAGAAGACGAATTAAGCGTAGGTAAACAAATGGCAAATAATCTATTGTTACAAAGATGGCAGAAATGGTGGCAAGAAGAGGCAGAAACAACAGGGTCCTGGACTAAGCGACTCATACCGGATGTCGGCACATGGATAAATAGAAAACATAGGGAGCTTAGCTATTTCCTCGCACAAATGTTGACCGGTCATGGGTGCTTCCAAGCATATAGAAAAATATTCCATGTAAGTGATAGTCAGACTTGTATATACTGTGATGAGGAGGAGGACACAGTAGAACATACAATTTTCATATGTAGTAGATGGCACAGAGAGAGACTAAGGATAGAAAATGTAACTGGACAAGTTAATCCTGAGAACATCATACACAAAATGATAGAGAATACACGGATATGGGAAGCAGTATAAAAGTTTACCACTGAAATACTTAAAAGAAAGGAAAAAGACATTATACAGAGGGAAAGAGACAAATAGTCAAAGAAAAAAAAAAGGATGGTAAAAAACAGAAAAGGAAAATATGGTAAAAAAATATAGCAAGAAAATATAGTAAGAGAAATCTGTTAAAAGGAACATCAGTCACTGCTCCCTCCTCTTGATTAAATGCACAAAGCGGTCCCAGGAAGAGTTACCTAGAGCAAGGAGGTGGTTTTAGTGGGTATACCGGCCTTGCACCCTTAGCCGGGAGTCCCACACTACCAGGTATGGGTAGAACCATATGCCTGGTGTCCGTAAAGGATTTCCACCCAACCAGAAAGAAAAAAACATTTAGTTTATAAAATAAGAAAATGATTTAATAAGAAAAATGGCAATGAAATGCTCACAGTGTGAGATTATTCATCAGCCTACAAAAGAACAAAAATATTCATGCTCTACATGTGATGCAGATGCAGAAGATTATACTGCAACCAATGTTCTGAATTATCAACCACAGAAATTAAGTGTATACCACTACGCACTAGAATTCTGAAATTTCATTGTGCAAAATGTAGGAATTATGAACTGACTGACTTTCTAAAGAAAACTAATGAAGATAAGGATGAAATAATAAGAAGTAAAGATGAAATAATAAATAGTAAAAATGAAATAATAAAAATGCTTCAAGAGAAAATTAAAGAATTTGAAGAAAAAGAGATAAATATTGTACCTACCATTTTTTATGCTAATATGGTGAAGTTACAAAAAGAAGACAGTAAACGAAAACCTAACCCTCCAAAAATTATTATTAAACCGAAAATACAGGTTTAGGAACAAATATTAACCTAACTGACTTAAAAGTTGGAGTGAAACAATTAAAGATGGGAAAGATTGGTTCCGTTATACTTTCCTGTCAAACAAAAAAAGAAGCTGAAATTCTGGAAAAAGCTGTTCAAGATAAATTAAAAGCTTCATATTTTACGGAAAATTTGACTAAGGAAGAAATTGACAAGTCCATTGTGAAACAGAATGACATAACAGGTGAAATAAAAACCACATATATCAGAAAAATGAAAAAGGCTTCAATACTGTATACTGTGAATGTTTAGGAACTGCATTTAAACAATTGATACAAAGGAAAAAAATATGTATATGGGAAAGACTTCCGGTTTATGAAGATTTGGAGATTCCCAGATGTTTTACATGTCAAGGTTTCTTTTCTACCATAAAAAAGAAAACTGTAAGAATGCAATCGTGTGCCACATCTGTAGCGAAGAACATGAAGCTAGCTTGTGTCCAAAGAATAAAATACACTGTAAGAACTGTAAAACTTCTAACGAAAAATATAAAACTGAATACGACTACAACCATTCTGTACTGGATTTGACTTGTCCCTCTTTGAAATATCATCAAATGGTATTGCAAAATAAAACCGAGTATACAGATCAATAACATAACGTAACTAATATTTGTACATACATTCAAATAGTTCATGATTATTAATCAAGAAAATAATCTATTAAATTCTATTCAAATCGATTCGATTAATGAAGTCGTTGATGCTGCTAATATAACAAATAAAATTAATTTAAATGAAAAACTCCTAAATGTCTTACATTTCAATATTAGGAGTATTAAAAAGAATTTTGAAGAGTTGTTAGTATTTCTAGAAAGTTATAAAATTAATTATTGTGATATAATAGTTTTGACTGAATGTTTCCAATTAGAATCTATTTCTCAATTTAACATAGATGGCTTCACCACCCACTATAACAATGGTAACATTAACAGAAATGATGGTGTTGTAGTTTTGGTCAGGTCAAATCTAAATGCAGAATTAAATATAGTTAAACTGGAATATTCTGATATTTGTGTCACTAAAATAAATCTAAAAGTGAATCATTGGACCATTGGCATTACAGGTGTATACAGGTCTCTTCAAACCTCTGCACAAGCATTTATAAGGGATTTAGAAAATTTCATACCAAATCACCTAAATAGAAATATTGAAATATTCATAGGGGACATTAATATTGATCTACTAAATGTAACCAATCAAGTAACTACTGATTACCAAGCAACTTTTTACTCCCATGGTTTTATGTCTTACATAAACACTATTACGAGGCCACAAAGTAAAACATGCTTGGATCATATATTCTTAAAAAACAATATTAAGACTGAAAATATATCGGTGAACTCTTATGTAATATTCGTGATAATGACGTCATTTTGCTTAGCCTAGGACACCCTTTATACATGTTTCTTTAACGTGATATCGATTCGTCAAAATGACTATATGGAATGACGTCATTTCGCTGTGACATTCTCATGTTACTATAACGTTATTTTCACGTCATCAAATGACGAAACGCACATCAAAAAATCACGTCATAATGTTGCATGGGTTGTTGGATTTTATGGGTGTTGTATGGGTGAAAGTCAGCTGGTGCATCCCCGGGAGGAGTTGCTAGGGGACCGCGTGGAACATGTAAAAATTGTTTTAAAAGCATTTTAGAAAATCTGTTTTTTTAGTTAAAAATTAAGGACATCTGATTGAATAAAAAAACTTGCACCACAAAGGTCGTGTGTGCCTTCCTAGACAAAGGAGCTTCTGACAACACGCCACACGAATATGTCAAAAGAGCACTTGCATACTGAGCACCACATCCAGATGTATGGCTCAGCTGCAATCTACGAGAACTGCAGAGACACAACTAGGACAGGACACCATCTCCATCTGCACAACCAGAGGATGTACTAATGTGGAACCTAACCGTACACGAACTTCTATGCAGATTGACTGACCTCGGTATGCCTTGTCTCTTAGCTAGCATACTTCTGGATGAATATAACCAGAAAATATCGCATTGTAACAGGGATCCTTACTGGACATTGCCGACTCAAAGGACACCTTAGCAAAACGAGAGTAGTAGAAGATATTGAGTGTAGGTTCTGCGAGGAGGAGGAGGAGGACAAAACCTCCATTCACATTCTGACCGAATTTGTAGCCCTTCAGAATCCAAGGGCACTATATATAGTAGCACATCAAATAGAGAAGAGAGATTTACCTAGCTTGAAGCCACTCCAAATCCTACACTTTCCTGATAACATAGGATTGAAGGGTCGTTATAGACATCGAGACATTTCCTTGTTGCATTAGCGACAGAAGAGGGCACAATAGATCTTTTAGGTCACAGTGTGTATTAACACCCCATTCCAAACATAAAGTAGGGTCAAACATCAGCTGGGCGTGTGAACTCGTGAATTATTTTAAACATTGATTTTTTTTATATTTACATGACTTTTGACGTATATAGAAGTATGAAAATAATAATCAGCTGCATTGTGGAGGAAAGAGCATCGGTTGAATCAAGAAAATTAAATTTATATAAAAGCAAACTTTTATAACAACTTTAGTCTATATTTAAGGAGTGATCAGAATCAACAATAAAATTGAATACATATCATTTACCAAGTTATATTATTGTTTTCTCTAGTTTGACGTAGTGCCATACAGAATTATCATTCATAAGATAATTTACGATGAAACTACAAGTATATTTAATAAAAAAAAAATTACCTTAAGAATAATATTAATCAAATTCCAATCCCAAGTGTACGCATCATTACTTGTTAAAACACCAGTTTCTTTAACTGGATCATCACCATCTTTTAAAACCAACTAAAAATACAAAGCAAAAGTATTAATGTTAAAATTAAGTGACAGAATGTTGATCATTTACCTGATGAAGTTTCCTTTGAAAACTGCTGCCATGTCTGCGTTTGGAATGTTTGACATGTTTGTGTTCATTTCTTTTATGAACACTATTTCTTATTATGTAGTCTAAATGAAGACTATAAGAGGCTGGTCTTCTTTTCATTAACCTTAAGAAATTCACATATGTTAATTATATCTGATGATTGCAATATACATTAAAAAAAAAACTTTGTAGAAAGTATGGTTTTCTTACATATGGAGTTGTTCAAGGGCTGTAATGGCAGCTATAGCTTGAGGTTTGCTCTTGGTTGCATAATCTAGTAAAGCTGGAAGAGATGGCGATACATTACAACATCCAGGAGGTAGTAATACTTGAATAAGTCTTAAAAGTTCACCTAAATAAAACAATAAAAATGAAATACCACATTTAAAGTCTAATAATTTTAATTTTACCTAGTAAAATAGAAGCTCTAACGCATATAAAAGTATCGCTAGTGGCAATTACTTCAGTTAAGGCTGCCAAAAGACCGTTTTCCAAAAAACAGTATAAAAGAAGAGAGAGATGCATGTCAGTAGGACTCGGAGTAGTTTTCGCCAGATGCGGCAAAACAGATCGTGCTTCTGCTACAACAAAACCTTCGCCCAACCTCCAAGAGGCTTGAGGTTCACATGGATCAACTGCACTCAAGGCTACAGATAATTCGTCGGACCATTCTGGTTGAGACAGTCCCAAGAGTTCATACAGGAGATCTAATACTGATTTCTAAAAATATTTTATTACACAAAACACTCATTTTTAAATCAAATTAACTTACTCTAACTTCGAGTTGTTGTAAGTACAATACTTCCACAATTGCTCTAAAACCACCCCTGTCAAGTGGGCTACAAAAATGTAAAATACCAGGCCAACTTCTTAAAATTGTTAATAATGACAATCTTGCACAATTTAATCTCAATTCTCTTTCATCTCTTCTAAAAATAAAAGGATAATATTGTAAATATTAATTAAGTCAATTTAGTGAGGGATTTTGATATGCTGGATTGAAAAAATAAAAAAAAAGATTGGTGTGTTCTGGTTTTACACACTCTTCAAAATACTCATCCAGTACAACAATTTTACGGATGTTGATGCAATATTTTATAGTAAAAAATATTTCCTAAGTAAAAGAGGAGCATTAGACATAGTTGAAAACATGTAAAAATTTGAATGACCAAACATGCAACTGAATAACACATGACATTCGCTTAATCTTGCAATTATCTATTGTTGCCTCCTATTATAATGACATTAGTGTCAAATGAAAACTAAAAGGCTCCTCTTTAATAATAAATAGGGTTGCCTTTGTAATGTTTTCATACACACAAACAATAGCTCAATTAGGTTTTGTATCTCTTCAATAATATGAGATATCTTTCACGGTTTAAAATAATGAAAACTAGCTATAAATAAATATAATAATTGATTGTTCACAGCATATTTTTCATTAATACATTTTTAGGCAACCGTCACAAAAAATGACATTTTACGGATTTATTAACATCTCTAAAGGCTTAATTTTTTGGCCGCGTTTACTTTACGGCCACCTTTTATGAACGCAAGTTCTGTTTGTCATACTTAACGTAAGTAATTCTGTAAAATTTTTGTTACCTAACAATAGATTTTTTATTGGATAAATGAAAATTTTAAATTATTTTCAGGAACAAGTAACGTATGTCCCTAAAGTTTTCGGAAAAAAATCTATTTTTATTTATTTATCGCAGACAGCCTAGGATCAAGTTGCCATTGGAAACAAAGTTAGTAAACAACTCAAAGTATGTTGCTAAATGTTAGTTTTGACTAATTGTTTGTCAAGATGTCGTATAAGCTTAATATTCGTCAAAGTATTTATCATTTAGTTGGACAAGTACCTAAGCCCGATATTGTTAGAATTTTCAGCGCCCAAAATATTTCTACTTCCACAATTTACCAGACTATTAAAGACTGTGAAAATGGCATACCATGCATTAATTTGCCAAAAAGTGGGAGGCCAAAAGTTTTAAGTCGTGCACGAGAACAGAGATTGGTTGAAAGTGTAGAAAACCACTTAGGAAAGTCATTGCGCAAAGATGGCCGAAGATACAATGTTTGCCGGATGACTGTAAGTAGAACACTCTCTAGAAATAATTTAAAATATTATAAAAGAAGAACGGCTCCTAAATACACAGTAGCTCAGTTGGAAAAAATTCCCAGATGTTGCCGTGCTTTGAGACGTGTTCATTTTCCCGGTAAAAGTATCATTAAGGATGATGAAAAATATTTTACTTATCAAATTCCGAAATTAGAGGTAACGATGGATTTTATACACGTAATGCGGAAGAAGCTCCTGATCATGTTAGATTTAAAGGCAAGGTTAAATTTGCCGACAAAATTTTAGTGTGGTGTGCCATTTCGGAAGCTGGTGTTTCACAGCCACATGTTGGACGTGTTCGAGGTGAAGCTATCAATGCGGAGATTTACATTGAGAGATGTCTTTCAAAACTTCGTAACTTTATGCATACTCATCATCCCAATGATGAAGTGATATTTTGGCCCGATCTAGCATCGTGCCATTACGCCAGGAGAACGACAGACTGGTTAACTGCTCAAAATATAAATTTTGTTCCTAAGCGCGACAACCATCCAAATGTGCCTCAGGCGAGGCCTATAGAAGAGTTTTGGGCCCTTTTAAGTCGAAAAGTATATGATAATGGATGGGAAGCCCAAAATGAGGAGCAGTTAAGACGAAGAATGCTGCAAAAAATTCGTGAGATCGATTTAGCAACGGTCCAAAGGCTTATGGCCCATGTAAGGCCAAAACTACGTGCCATCGAAGAACAAGGACCCATGTATGTTCTATAAAAATATCAAATAACGTTTAGAGTTCTAGAAATACTTTCCCATTGTTAATTTTTAAATAAGTTTATTTCCGAAAACTTTAGGGACATACGTTATGTAAAAAAAAATCGATCTACTTGTTGAGACAGTCATCTAAAAAAATGTGTGCACCTTGGTCTCATGATCGTCTCTTATGACCTCACTATTTCCCAGCAACCAACAACCAAGGACAGCTATTTAGATTTCTAGGAAATACAAAGCCTACTCAATGGCGCACCTTTCCACCTCCGATTTAACTGCGGTTAGGATGGAATACGCTATCAAAAGGGAAAATAAAACGTTGATCCTGGCATCTGCATACCTCCCCTCCGACGCAACCACGCCACCACCCAGCAAAGAGATGGAGGATCTGATTGAATACTGCCTGGACCAGAAGTTTGAGCTGGTAATAGGCTGCGACTCAAATGCTCATCACTTCAGTTGGGCAGTCAGGATAACAACGCTAGAGGTAAGTCATACAATTACGCCAACATTTTTAAACTCTCGCAGTCAAACACACAAACCAGATATCACTTTGCCCACAATTGGTATCTATGAATCAATTTTAAACTAGCAAGTGACTGATAACATTTCGATGTCAGATCACGACTGGTTCATATTCAAAATAAACTAGATGTTGCCGACCTCCACGCTATCTCGGAATTCTAGGAAGACGGACAGGGCAACCTATAACCACCTTCTCCAAGAGGCTCTGAGAGAGATGGAGGCCGAAACACCATACAATAATATTGCTTTGGAAAAGTACTCGAACACTATCCAAAGCACAATAAATAATGCCTATAAGAAATCTTGCCCCCTGAGGTCGGTCCAACACCATGCGGTCATGGTGGTGTCACGAGTTGGAGCACCTCAGGAAGATCGCTAGGAAGTCCTTTAATAAGGCAAGAACCATAAAACTCAAATATGACTGGGATATTTACAAATCTCACTTAAGAGAATATAAAAAATCATTAGACAAAAAGAGATATGCATGGAGATCCTACTGCAAAGAAATCGAATATTTCCCGCAGCTAGCGAAGCCTTAAAAAGCATTGGTGTGCTAAACTTCTGCTGTTAACATTCTTCCCTGAATAGACCACGAATTTAGTCAGGGTTAGTACTAGAATGTCACGAAGCTTTGGACGAAGTATACATCAACAATGTTAAGATTTATTTATTTATTTATTTTCATTATAAAATTCACATTCACATTTTTTCATGTTAAATTAAAATATAAGATAGATCAAAAGTCAGGCCACATCGAAAGGTAACTGTCTTACCGATTAACTAGCCAATAAGGCAGCCAAACCAAATTCTTTCTGGACTAACAACATCGGTAGTGACATACCTGATTAAAGAAATTCAAGGAAAGATGGTTTAAAACAAGAAACTGCATACTTTACAAGGAGCTTATAAGTTATCCTGACAACGATACAGAAAACAAATACTTGACTATGACTAGACAGAATCTGCGCCTGATCACAGGCATTCTAACTGGGCATTGCTAAGTATGGAAGCATCTACATATCATGAGACTGTCAAAATCCGCACTCTGCAGGGGGTGCGAACAAGAAGATGAGACCTCACCAGAAGTGTCTTGGCATCGGCCGCAAATTTTTAATTCAGCAAAAAGGATCAACTTTACTAACTAGGTAGATTTTAGGTAGATTTTTCGAAATTAAAGTTACAAGCAAAAAATACAATATTCTATTCTTATTTTCAGTAAAAAAACTATTTACAACAATTATAGATAATTTATATTACGGTGTCGATATCATCTACGTGAGATATGGACATCATATCCACTTTTGTTGCACAAACCACTATTTTAAATTGTTTCCAATTTACCAGGTCTTTAACAATACCCGAAACCCACGTGATCTGATAACCATCGAAAGGGCCTGATTTGACGTAAAAGGGACTAAACTGAACTGTCAGTCCTGTCAGAAATGTCACTGGCGTTCATTTGGGAATTGACAATATTTATATTATATTTGTTTACATTTTATAAACACCTTTATTCCATTTAATATTAATAAAGCAATTAGTTATTTTTAGAGATTATTGGTGGCTTAATTCTTTTTTGTTGGTAAGTACAAATTTATTTACTATAACTCGTAAAAGTCAACGACTGTATATAATTTATTTCAGGAACAAAATTATTTTAGATTCTTAATCATATTCGAAAATTTGAGGAACGTTTTCCAGGTGAATAAATGGAATGTGATTATTTTTTGTCGTCATAAACAAATACTTGTTCAAAATTAAAAAAAGGAAAAGGCTCTAGAAGGCCCACAGTAACAACAAAAGCTGTTGAAGATGTGCAAATTAACATGGTTCAAATTCCCAATAAATTAGTAAAAAAAAATACGTGTGGCACTCGGGGACTGCCGCGGTAAAGCTATTGCATAGCATTTTTTATCAACTTATGCAATTATAATTATTTATTTATTTTATTTATGAAGTATTTTTTTCTTTGATATTAATTCAAGTTACACTTTTTGAGCGTGTTGACCGATAGGAAAACATTTTTTTTTTTATTGAATAAATGAGAAGTAATATTGTTTAAAATATTTTTATTATCTTACAATACATGTAGGTTATTCAGGATTTTTTATCATTGAAACTATAGGTTTATGGTAAATAAGGAACATAAGTTTGAGACTTGATATCCTGATTGATATCTGGAAAATACCGCGTCAATGGTGGTCCCATATTTTGTTGTGGATTCTTGTGGACCATTATTCATTTTCAAATTCAATTTTTCCGAAATTGTGTCTAAAAGAGATAGAATCAGTTATGAGCAGTTAGCAGCTAGTCTACACGCATACGTCTAGTCGCACGCACACAAACACCGTGCCGAAGTCAGCCGAACTGAAACGACGTTAGAGGATGCACGGCTTTCAACGCCGCACCGCTGTGCCTGTTTTTCGATTTTATTTTATTGTATAAATGAGGAGTTAATATTTTTTAACGCCGCACCGCTGTGCCGATCGGAGTGGGGGGTGTTAGGTTTTTTTTCGTTACGCGTTTCGGAATTTCTTGATTCGGTCGCCGCGCTCAAAGCCCGCGATAAAAGCTATGCAATAGCTTAAAAACAGCACCTCAAACAGGTATGGACGATGTTTCAAACACTAACTCTGACGAGTGAAATTCAAAACATATTTTTTTAGGTTTGTCGCTACGAACTAGCCATAAAGCATTAAAAACGTTTCTGATAATGCATCCCTATAAAGTTTCGGTACTGCAACAATCATTTTACCTTAATTTTGTTAAACCTACCTGTTCCAGAATGAATTAATTCCTATTTTATTATTTAAATATTCGCGCTTTGTCTCAAATCGCTTACTTAAAACTTTGGCCCACACATGCGCTTCGTCTGACTGTAAGACAAGTGAAGCGCCGTTGGACGAGAAGAACTACAGCAATTGCCGCGACGATAACGCTTTGTGGTGTGTATGTGCCGTTAAATCCGCTATTATAAAATCCTGTATAATAAGCGTTATTATATAAACTGTGTAACCGGGCCCGGTCTTGGCTACTGGACTAATACCGACGAACAATATGATGAGACACAGAAGGTAAGCGCGTTTGAGACACGTTTATCTTATTTTTTTCGACTGTTACAATCAGCCCCTTTTTACGTAATATTCCAATCATTCTATGGAATTTTACAGATCGCTCAATTCAAAATCATTTGTGTGACGTTCATGAACTGGAGCACCTATATTACATGAAATACAAAATATAACTGAGAAGAAACTGCATGTGTTCAAAAAAGAAGGATTAATGCTTGCATTAAAGCTGGTGGTAAAGATTTTGAACAGATAGGTACTGTGACTTAGTATCGTTTGTGCACCACTGATTACTATTCAATATCCTTTAAATAAAATAGTTGTTAACAGGTATGCCTCTATAATTTAAAGTAAGAAGTGAGAGTTAATCTAAAGTAAATAATTTTTAATTTTATTCATATTTTAATGCATAACATTTTTTATCCATAACTTTTTTGCGCCCTGTTCTGGTAAAGGTTTTTTTTGTAATAGTGGCATATTTCAGTTTATTATTCTTTTCGTTAAATACAAACTAGATATAAATAGCTCAGTTTTTAAGGTTATGTGTCATAATTTTAAAAATTAAACTTTTGCATTTGACTAAATCTTTAAAATATCGAATTCTAACATTAAAATACCTCTAATTAATATTATGATTTTGTGTTGTAATTCTAAAGTTACCTAACTGAATTTTGTTCTCGTAGTTGCAGACCATAAAAAAAAGAAGATATATTTTGTAATAAAATACCTACGGCACTGGCTCACATCTAGAGATTTTTACTTTTATTTTCGCCAATCGCTGTCATGACGATTTGGTCACGTAGGTTTTCGGTATGCGCTAGTTCAGTGTGATGTCATTTTGGTTCCACTGACATTTATTTCTAACCAAACTTTTAACAAAAACATTAATAAATTTGACATATACGTTTTTATTTTATTTCAAAATATTGTTTACAGGTCATAAAAAATAGTTTAAAGGTATGTAATTGGTAACTAAACGATTGTATATTTGATACATGCTATCTACTTACTTAGGAATATATTTATAAAAGTAAAAAAAAACGATATAATTTAGGTAAAGAAAACAAACAAAACGCATTCAAAAAATCTACTGTCACTTTAATTGTCAGTGGAACCATAATTACATCATCACTGAACTAGCGCATTGTTGAAGACCCAGTACCTTCTTGCTACTTAACACTAGTCTGTGGGTACTAATAAATTGTACTAATTAGTTTTCATTAACTACTTTTTTAGGTGGAAGATGTAGAAAACTGGGCACAGTTCAAAATAATGGGTAAAAATTTCAAAATAAAACAGGAAGTTCAGTCTCATAAATACAGGTTGTCCCAAAATTCCGGGTACATAGAGCTACTTATGTTGGCGAGATCAAAATAAGTCGATTGAGCCAAAATTACGTATATCACAAAGTGCTTCGTTTGCCTGTGAGGAAGCTTGAAAGTTGAATTTTCAATTTATTTAATAACATTTGGTATGTAGCTATTTTAATTGAAGACAGTGTTCAAATCAAAAATTGGACGAACTAAAATCATGGAAGGGTAAAAACACTAAAAACCACCCTAATTCTACCATAAATGACATTTGAAATTTATTGTCATTTCCCACATAATTGTTATTATATTGCTTAAACAAATAATAGTAATGAATGAAAAATGTGGTGTTAAGAATCAATTGTTATATTTATTTTTTTTGCTCTTAAGTTTAAATTAAAAAAAAAAACTAGCATAAAATGTACATTTATTTATAGACATTTTTCACTATTTTAAACCAAAAAAGCTACCAAGAAAAAGTTATTCAATTTTGAGGGAACGTTAATCTGTATCACGGTACAAAAAACAATTCAGTCCTTATTTGTGCATAGGAAAACAAAGAAAACCTTAGTTACTATTAAAATGAAGGTTTTTAGCTTTCATTTGACACTAATTTCATTATAATAAGAGGTAATAAATAATCGCTTGATTAAGCGCATGTATCATACTTGTGTTATTCAGCAACATGTTTTCAGTTATGACCAATACTCCTCTTCCACTTATGATATATTTCTTTACTTTAAAATACCACTTTAACAACTTTAAAATACCGCCTTAACAACCTTAAAATATTTGACTTATATTACATTATTAAAATGTGACTTTAAATAGTGGACGATTGGCAAAAACAATAAAAATGATATTTTTGTTACAAAAATGATTCTGACAGGATGCTGGATTGCCTGATTAACATCTTTCAATACGTAGCAAAGTAGATAGAATTATTATAATGTATGTAATACTGTAATAAAATACTCCTTAGGATCGGACCACCCTCGTTTGATTTACCTTTTTGAACTTATAACTCACACATGGTTACCACCTTCAACTTTAAGAATTATTATATTCTTTAATTTTTCATTTCTAAACCAAAAATGTTTGATATAATTGTAGTATTGACTTACTTATTTTTGTCTTTGGCTCCATGTTTATAGTGAAAATCGCAAAAAGGAGCAGCTGCACTATGCAAGTCTACAGCTGCATGGTTCCTAGTTGAGGGTTTGTCTAAAAGTAGTAAAAGAACCCCACAAAGTGATTCTGCAATTTTGGGGCTTTGACATTCTAAAAGATTTCTAGATATTGCTGTGACTCCTCCTGATGCAATAAAAAGTTTAGAATTTAATACACCTAAAAGAAAGAGGACATAATAAAACTGCATGAAATTGTAATGTTTGATAAAAAAAAATCAAAACTATATTATTTACTTACCCAATTCTGACAGAGTGGCCAAACATACCCGAAGCATTCTGTCTTTTGCTTCTGCACCTTCATATGCTAAAGAAACTAGGCATCTTGCTAATGAAATGTCAAACGTTGATGGTGATATTATCAACATTTTTCTTATTAACTTCATGGCCTCTATTCTTTCTATATCATTTCTTAAAATTAGATCAAGTGACCTAAAAACACACTCAAGTAAGTATCCGTTATAATATATAATACTATAATAATAATATTTATTCAGCCTTGAGAAATACATATTTATATTATTTTAAAAAGGTTAAAAAATGTATAAACCTATAAGACCTATTAGCATTGTCAACACATACAATTTTACATGCTACATGCTACAATTGAGTTTAAAATAAAGTACAAATTAAAAATAGTATACAATAGGGCAAAAACATTAGACAATAATTATAATAGATACCATTACGGATCACTGAGTATCATTAATAAATTCTGCATAGGAATAATATGTTTTGGACGAAAGATATGCATAAAGCTTATTTGTGAATACATTAAAGATTTTTTCCATTACCATTGACTTGAGAATTGCTATTAAAACATGCAACACCTCTGTAGATTTTGGAATTCTGTCCAACTGAGAGTGTAGAGAAAGGCTGCTGTAGATATTTGTGATTGCGTGTGTTATAATTGTGTGAGTGTCTATAATCTGATAGTTGGGATTCCTGTTTTTTTATATTAAGTATTAATAAGTATGTTAGCGGTATTTCTCTATACTCCCCACCATACATTCTTGAAGTCCATACACATGCGTGTCAGGATGGACGAGCGGGAGAAGACAGACCAGCGCAGTGGGTAGTACGCGAATAGACAGTGGCAATACCACAGCAACATTGTAATTGAGAATACTTGATCGTGAATTAAACCATTGAAAAACCAGTTTAGACCTTTTTATTAGGGATGATACATCCCTTATGTTTATAAGTATATATACAAAAATGGAAGTGTTAGGATTTTAAAGTCATGAAAAAGTTGTTTGCAGCTAGTTGTTCTTGAAAGCCCAGCCATGCATCTCATAACTTTTTTTTTGTACACAGAAGGCTCGCTCCAGATGAGCTGAGCAGCCCCAAAAAAATTAGACCGTATGAGATAATTGATTCAGCCAAACTAAAATATGTTAATTTTAAAACATCGGTATATACAGTGTTTTTTAACTGCCTCGTTAGAAAACATACACTACTTAGTTTATTTGATACATGATCTACATGGTTATCCCACGTTAAATTGCTGTCCAGAATTAGACCTAAGAATTTACTCGAATTTGTTTGTATCAATGATTGATGATTTATTATAACAAGATAGCTGAAGTCATTCGTTATATTTTTTGGTAGAAAGGTCATGATTTCAGATTTTTTTACATTAACATTTAAGCCGTGTGAAATACAATAACTATTTATTTATTTTATTTATTTGCGGAAAATCTCCTTTTACAAAATAATTATTATCAGTAGATATTTTAAACCTAACCTAAAGTATCACACAAAAAAGAAAAAAAAAACTTAAATATCTTAAATATCACAAAAAACTTAGAAAAAAACTTAAAACTAAAGCTAACTCGATAAGTACTCCCTCAGCTGATTTTTAAACCTAAACTCCCAAAAGATCAGTGTGTCTGTTAATTTCATTTCCCTGCCTTTGAAATCTGGTTGAAGGACTGTTGAGTCCGTAGTTCGAATGATGGAAGCTAATTGAAAATATTGGTTTCTCTCTAATAAAAGATCATTACTAATTAAAGTTTTCTAAACTGACAATAAGTTTAAATGGTTATTAAGCTCCCTCTTAGAAAGATAAGGCATATGTAACCTCCACTGACAAGTTCTTAGAAACCTATTTTGAACTGCATCTAAATTTAAAATATGAGTCCAGTAATGAGGTGATCAGACTGGTGAAGCATATAAGAGGATGCTGCGCACTAGTGTTAAGTAAAGGGTTCGCAATGTAGGCACAGAGAATTTCCTAGAGTTCCTGGTCACAAATCCCAATGTTTTCAGAGCTCTACTAATGATGGATCTCATGTGTGGTACAAATGTCAAAGAACTATCGAAGATCACACCTAGATCCTTGATTTCACTTCTCCAAAACAGTGACATGTCGCGCGCGACTGATCGCGCGCGGCAATACTTTTGATGTAAATGACTCAAAGCCCATTAACGCGGTTCTGTCGCGTGGTCATTTAAAATCATCAAAAGTATTGTCGCGCGCGACATATCGTGTGAGTGGGCTTTCCCTCTTACCTCCCATAAACCCATGATGTTCAAAATGTTTTTGCAATGCCATGACAAAGGTTTATATAACAATAATTCTAATAATTTAGGTATTGCAGAAAGTAAAACTACAGGGCGATAGTTAACTATGTCATCTTTCTGACCATTTTTAAATATGAGGGTAATAAAACTATCACGCCATTTTGCAGGAAACTGTTGTAATTTCAAAGAGGAATTAAATAAAAACTGTAGTGGTTTGGAAAGAGTGAATTTACATTTTTTCAAGAAATAAACAGGGATTCCATCTGGACCATAACTCAATTGATCTTTTAGGGAGTTAATACCATCATAAACATAACTTAAGGAAAACTGAATAAAGGGAATATCAGGCTGGTTAAATGCATTATAATGAAGGTTTGGCTCATCTACAATATCTTTCTTATAAACACTGGAGAAATGCGTAGCAAACAAATTACTGATGTCTTTCCCATTATCAGCAATTGTACCAAAAATTCATGTGCAGCACTATTAGCAATATATTGAAGTTCAGATGCATTTTTGGTGATGTTCCAAAAGTTGTGTCATCTGCATTATAATTTTGGTACATAGACTTGTACAAGTCATTAATAAAAACTAAAAATAAAACAGGGCCCAATATTGAGCCCTGCGGTACTCCCGTTGTCACATTTCGACTATTTGATTTACTGCATCTGATGGTTACAACTTGTTCACGGTTGTTTAAATATGACTGTATTCACTTATTTGGCGGGCTCCTTATACCTATTCGGTACAATTTATCTACTAGCAGTCGATGGTCAATTGAGTCAAAGGCTCGTGAGAGGTCGAAGCATAAAGGTAATATTTAATTCCTTGTTATTTAAAGATGTGTAAACAAAATCGCATAACTCCTCTATAGCACTAAATGTTGATCTATTTCTGTGAAAACCATGTTGAAATTTACTCAAAAGTCTATTGTTCTAGAAATTTAATGAACCTGTTATTATAGGCCATTTCGAATACTTTAGCCGGTTGACTTTGAATGCAGATGTTCCTATAGTTTGCCATGTCATTTACAGACCCTTTATTTTTATATATAGGAATGAATTTTGATTTTTTTAATATGCTAGGATAGTCACCACATAAAAAGACTCGTTTATAAGGTAGGACATCGGTACAATAATATCTTCAGCAATAAAAGACAATACTGTTCCATCTAAATCGATCATTCAAGGTGAGAAGACGTGTTCGTTTCATTGCGCAAATAAATCTATATTTCTACTGATATAAACTATATAATGTTAAAAAAAAAAAAAAAAACAACTAGTGAATTAAATAAAATGTGATAGTACTATAGTGTAGTAAATAAACTGTTTAGGTGAGTCACAGTTGCATAGATTAATGCATTATCTCTGCAATTTCACCGAAATAAAATCTACCAAGGAAACAAAAAACGCAAAAAAGTACCAAACCTTATCAGATGACAAAAAAGTTTAGGTGAAATAAAATAAACACCAATACTTTCTACTAAGCAACCATACAAATAGAATATCCAGTGGCGTACCCACATTTAGATTATAAAATAAGAAAATGATTTAAGGTAGTTCACTCGCGACAGTCGTACATAAAAATATCGCTTAATGGTGAATACCAATAGTTCGAGATTCTCAATGCTAATCAATTTTATTTTTGTAAGAGACTGTACAAAACACATGTAAGCTTATATCATCTTATATATATGGATTTAAATAAAATCCATCCGGTAACCTCATAAATACATGAATGGTTTGCTATAGAAATTTGTGACTTCCTCATTAATATTAAGGGTTTGTTTTGGTTCAAACAGAACCGCTGATTCCAGTTCTCAAACACAGTGGACGAATTAATTTTTCAAGTAAACGTCGCGAGGTTATAACATCCTCTTAGCTGATCGAGTGTTAGTTTGGTACAACGCGTTGATTGCAGCGTATACAACGTTGCCAAGTTGTAATAATTTTACCAACTACGCGTCGATTGCTTCAAAAATTTAAATATTTTAAAAATCTATATCTTTTTACTAAGACAGTCAAAAAATTCAGCGTTTCTTTAGAACATTTTATACCTTCTTGATTTACATTACATTAGCTTTTAAAAAATATGGTAAGAACAGTTTTCGAGATATCTGGAAATAAATGCATTACTTGTGTACATGAGAGGCTTCAAGAGTGTTAATTGTGCACATTTTGATTGTTAATATCTTGTTTCACAGACGGACAAAAAATTTAATTTTTTTTATTTACATAAAAGACACTTTCATTAACCTTTTATTGAATTCTTAAGAAAAGCCGTTTTACGAGTGAACTACCTTAATAAGAAAAATGGCAATGAAATGCTCACAGTGTGAGATTATTCATCAGCCTACAAAAGAACAAAAATATCCATGCTCTACATGTAATGGATGCAGAAGATTATACTGCAACCAAAGTTCTGAATTATCAACCACAGAAATTAGGTGTATACCACTACGCACTAGAATTCTGAAATTTCATTGTGCAAAATGTAGGAATTATGAACTGACTGATTTTCTAAAGAAGACTAATGAAGATAAGGATGAAATAATAAGAAGTAAAAACAAAATAATAAATAGTAAAAATGAAATAATAAAAATGCTTCAAGAGAAAATTAAAGAATTTGAAGAAAAAGAGATAAATATTGTACCTACCATTTTGTATGCTAATATGGTGAATTTACAAAAAGAAGACAATAAACGAAAACCTAACCCTCCAAAAATTATTATTAAACCGAAAATACCACAGAGAGGAAACAAAACAAAAACAGATTTAGGAACAAATAACCTAACTGACTTAAAAGTTGGAGTGAAACAATTAAAGATGGGAAAGAATGGTTCCGTTATACTTTCCTGTCAAACAAAAAAAAAAGCTGAAATTCTGGAAAAAGCTGTTCCAAGATAA